ATCGAACTCATGCGGAAGCGGCTTTAGCTTCTCAGTGCTGGGCTTTAGCCCGCTGCGCCACCAGGGAGGGCCATCTTTCTTTATTTTGAATGAGTCACTCAGTGTAGGACATACGTGGTCACCCGGTTGGGAAGCGCTTGGAAGTTCAGGCGGCCACATTCTGACGGAGGGCTTGGGCTTGGTTGTGACAGTCGAGTGACTCCAGAAAAGGGGGAGGGGCGTCGGGTGGGGGCGGTGCTTGGCTTTTCCTTCCTGCTCAGAAATCTACTCTAGGGAAGAAATGGGTCTGACCAGGACTCGGCCCAGTCCTCGACCACGGGTTCTCCGTCACGGTGGAAGCCAGGCCGGGCCGGCCTGGGACCTCAGGGCCGCGAGCCCCTGAGCGGAGGGTGGAGAGCGTCTTGCGCCTGTGTGGCCTGCCCCTCAGGGAAGCAGGTGCCCAGGGCCTCGGGTCTGAGGAGGCCACCTGAGAGCTACGGGGGCTTTTTAGAAACACTCAAGGCTCTTGGGCGCACCGGGGAGTGGGATTTAGGGACAGTTGCCTGTATACGTCTGCCTGGTCTGGCAACAGCCGTGACTGCAAGGTGGTCCCTGTTACAGCGTCCAGTAGATATTTCTACACAGGATAGATCGGGGTGGCTGGCACGGGAATTTTACTCCCAATAGAGGGGAAAGAGGCCCTCCCTGGTGGTGCAGCAGGTTAGAGCGCAGCACAGGAAGCCAGGTAGCCCAGCCGCTTCTGCACAGGCTCGATTCCCGGCCAGGGGCGACCCACGTGGCGCAACAGACGTCTCCTGTCTCACCCGTACTTGGTCCATCTGCCTCTTGTGCTCCCCACTCTGTCTGTGGTGAACCTTCTCACGCCCTGCGGTCTGGGCCCTACGCATAGATAAACAAATCTTCAAGAAAGGAAAGAAGGGTAAAGACTTCCCCCAGTGGTGGGGCTGGAGCTGAGAAGGGCCTTTGAGCAGAGACAGGGGTGTGGGCGGGATCGGGCCCTGAGCCTGGTGGCCCAGCCCTGCAGCTAGGTGGTGCGGGGAGAGGAGCAGGGGGACGCAGGAGTCGGCTGCCCGCATGGATGAAGGCTGGGGCCGTTGCAGGAGTGGGGAGAGGCCGGGTGAGGCTGGGCGCGCCTGCGGCCCGCCGCATCGTGGTTCCAGGCGGGACGCGGAAGGACCTAGAAAGATCAAAGCGCGCCCCGCACTGAGGAGCCAGATGACAGGCGCCTCGCGCACCTCCAGACACTAAGAATGTTTCCTCATAGTGCCCCAATATCTGATCCCGCCTGTCTCTCCGAGACGGCTCACGCTGCACTTGGGGAATACGAAGCGGCTCCGGCCGCAGATTGCATCTGTCTGACCGCTGGCGAGCGGGCTCTGGCGCAGACGGGTGCTGCAAGCAACCCGTGTTTTGCCAGCTGTGCCAGGGCAGCATCATGGGCATGAAGCCTGTGCATTAAGCAGAGACTAAGTTTGCCTTATTGTGGCTTTTTTTTTTTAAAGATTTATTTATTTATTCATACAGAACTGGGGTACAGGCCAGAGGTGCAGGGGCAGTGAGAGGCTTCACCAGGGACAGAGTGGGGAACAGAACAGGCAGATCGACGAAGTCCACTGCTGAGGGGAGCAGCGGGCGGGTCAGGAGAGGGCTGCCGCGCCATGTGGTCACCTCCAGGGCAGGCGGGGATCGAACTCATGCGGAAGTGGCTTAAGCTTCTTAATGCTGTGCTTTAACCCGCTGCGCCACCAGGGAGGGCCGTGGCTTTTTTTTTTAAGGAAGGCATTTGTGGGGTGCACAGCCACCAGTGTGCTGAGGCCGACGGTCTGCTATTCTGAGGGACGCACGCTCGGCCCCTTGAGGAGGCCTGGAGCGGTGGCCAGCACCGTGTGGTCTGCAGGGAATTTCTGCACCCAGTGCTCTGTCCCTGGGCTGAACACAGACCTGGCTCTCGGCAGGCTACAGGAAGGCACAGGGGTAGCCCAAGACTGAACTAGCTGCTTGCTCCCTAGATAAGTCTTTGGAACAAAGTGAAAAAGTGGACTTGTGAGACCAGCCTCCCCTCCCCCGACTTCTATAAATATTTCAAATCATGTTGCAGACCGCTAGACCTGGCGTGAGCTGGGAGCCACTGCCCACAGCGCCGGCCTTCCAGAGCCTTCTCCCTGCTGTTCGGGGACCTGGGGGGGGGCGCTGGCAGGAAGGCTGCTGGGTGTCTTGTCACACCTACAAACCGCAGTCCTCCCAGCAGGCAGGGCTGGCGCCCCTTCCAGAGGGCAGTGCCTGAAGGGCTGGCGCTTCTCAGCACCAGTATGCAGCTGCGCCAGCTGCTCGCCTCTCTCCTGGGCCTGCTGGCACCTGCCGCTGGGCCGCGCCCTCCGCAGGGCCGAAGGGCGGTCTGTGGTCAGTGCTTTGCCTTTATCCACGGAGAAAGAGAGCGGAGGCTGGGCGAAGGCGTTTCCCGGCCATACTCAGGGTTCTGTGCCTCCTCCCCATCAGGCTGGAAGTTGGGGGTGCTGTGGGGTTTAAGTTACATGACAGGGGCGCAGCGGGCCCAGCCCCAGGTACACAGCAGCCATGCAGCCTTTCTCGTCTCTGGGTGTCATGTCCTCGCCATGAGATTGACCCTGACTGACAGGACAAGTGGACAGGAGCCGCCTGCTGGCGGGGGCGGAACAAGCATGCTGAGGAAGGGAGGAGCCGGCCGAGCTGGGCGGCCTCTCCGGACACTCCTTCGGAGAGTCTCTGTTACCGCTTTGATCGCGGCTGCACTTTTAGATGGGAAGTTCTCCCGCCAGGAAAACCGCTGCAGTCTGCTCGGTTTGGGGGTGGAGAGAGCCCCAGCGCTGGCATCAGGCCGTTACTGCAGCTCTGTTCGCCGGTTGATTGCCCTGTCTTCCTTTTGGGGAGGTGAGAGGGAAACAAAACAGACACCCAGTACAGGGGTCCTGCCGGCGTCTGATGGAGGGACATTCCAGAACATTCTCTTCACAGCGGCAGGAAGTGCCATACGCACGCAGTCGGGGGCAGCTCCCCGGGCTTCTCCCGCTCGGGACTCAGAAGGTGACAGGTGCCCGCCTGTGGGAGAGGCTGTGACAGTCCCTCACGGAGCGTGGTTGGCACTTGGCTTCACGCAGCGGGATGAGCACTGCGGGGCGGCAGGACACTCTCCTTTGCCCTGCCATCTAGTGCCCTCGTGGGGGGCGCACTGAGGCAGTGCTCAGAGGCAGACTGTCGTGGAGGGGGCTGGGAATGCATCACATCTGTCCTCTCCTTCATGCTCGTGTTTGTCAGCACCTGGCTCCTCACCTAGAGAACAAGTTTTCTCAAACGTTGACTTTTTAATGTCTGAAATACGGGAACTGTTTTCTATAAGGAAAGCGTCTGCGACAAATCAGTAGTCTTCAGATAGGAGACTAACTGGCTATTTTGATATTTACACCTAAATTGGAAAGAGTATTCAAAGCCTAGGCGTGTTAACAGCAAATTTTAATTTGATCGCAAGAATGTCTTACAGAAGCAAGCTTTTAGCTTTGCATTTACTTTTTTTAATTACAAAGAAGGACTTATTTCAGTGGGGGAAATGCCATCAGCAGATATTTAGAAAATAATTGTCCGTATTACTTCATCCGACTCAGGTGTCATTGAGTTGTCACCTGCCGTGGTTTTGTGGCAAAGAAGGCAATCGTAGTCTAGTTCCCTCCTGACCATTCATTTCCTGGCCCTTGGTGGAAAAAACTGTGTTCAGAGGAGAGGACCATGTCAACTGCCGTTTGCTGAAGTAGCTGCGCTCGTTATAATATACGCCAGGGCACCGGCTCTGCGCGGACCATGCAGCCACAAGGCCACTGTATTTGTTCGTGTCACGTGCGTGTGACCCATAGTACAAAACAGCGCATTCATGTGGCGACACGATCCCTCTGGAAGCCACGGGGAAGTGCTGACCGCCCGCACCCATGCGGCGTGTGATGTTTCCATACCTCCCAGCCACAACGCCGGTGATTACCCCAGGAAGAAGCCAGTAGAGTAATTGCCTTCGTTTCCAGCATCTCTGCAAAAAGCAGCTCACCAAGGGAGGTGGTTTCTGGGTTTTGGGAAATATCTAGATAGTAATAAAAATCTGAACATTGACTGTAGAGCCACGACAGGCACCGGCGACCCAGGTGTGACTTAAAGGTCGCAGGGCAGCAGCTGCCTCGAGGTTCAAACTTGCTGCATAAATAGTCGTGTAGACATTCAAAAACCTGAACACTGAACACAGTCAGAGGGTCCAGGACAACACTTTGCAAAATGAAAGATTCTGCAGAGGAAAGACGTATGTTCAAGGTGAAGCTTAAGGTCCAGTCCGGCACGGCGACTTCAGTGTCGGTGCCGTGAGGTGGACAGCCGCTCTGGGAGTGGACAGCAGGCAGGGCTCTGTGCACGCCGCTGGCCCGTGACGGCAGCGGGGCTCCCCAAGCCCCCGGCTGGCCACGCCGTGCTCTGTGACGACAGGTGAGTTCTTCTCAGCCGACTCATCACAAAGAGGCCACCGGCGAGAGCCTCGGCGGCGCGGCGGCCACCCAGCCACGTCCGACATGAGCGCGGGGCCCGGTCGGGGTGAGCAGGAGCAGTGCTTGCTCAAGGGAAGCGGGCACCGCAGAGGGACTGCAGGTAGCTCCGGTCCCGGGGAAGGTTCTGGAAGGCGGCCTCCGCGTGCACCAGTTGCTTGCAGAGTGAGCAGTGGCCACGCAGACATTGCCCTGCAGCAGAGACCCCGGGGTGCACCCCCGGGGCAGGGGTGCGCTGGCTGCTCTGGAGCCCTGGCTGACCTGTGGCTCCTCCCTCCAGGGCACCTGGACGACGATGGACTGCCCCACGGGCTCTGCACCGTCACCTACTCCTCCACGGACAGATTTGAGGGCAACTTTGTGCACGGAGAAAAGAACGGGCGGGGGAAGTTCTTCTTCTTTGATGGCAGGTAACACTGAATGCTTTCCTTTCGTTGCAGGGGGTAACAGACAACTTTACTCGCAAGAATGATACAGTGAAAGAATTTAAGTAAAAGAACAGCTCAGAGTAAGCCCTGCTGCAGCGGCCGCTGGGGGGGTCAGGGAGGCCTGGCGGGGCGGGGCCAGCCCAGCGCAGCTCCCAGCAGCTCCCAGCACGGGGGAAGGGCATGGGGGGAAGGGCTCCTCCTTGCCAGGTGGGGGCTGCACAGGCTGGCCAGCGCGCCAGCCCGTTCTTTGACCGATTCCCCCGCACGATCAGGTACCACGTATCGGTGAAATCACACAGGGGGACTGTTTTCCTCAAGGGTCAGTGTGTGGGGTTGCGTTAGTCAGTTAGCCAGTACACCCTTAGAAAGACCTGCCTGCTCGAGAAAATAATAATAATGATGAACAGATATATACCAGAGACATTTTACAGGGCTGGAGTGGGGAATGGGATCAAAAACAGTGGGGGAGGGAAATGCACTGGACTGTGGCGATGGCACACGGGTGATTTGGTGATAGCCCAAGGGTGTTGCAACTGAGATGGAAAAATGCACAAAATGATGGAAAAATAAACATATTATATATATAGAAAGACCTGCCTGCTTCCTACCAAAAGCAGCACCTAAATCTACACCTGCCTACTAACCTTTTCCCCAGCGTTACCCTGCCCCTGTGCTCCAGGGCCGCTTCTTGACGTAGTGAAGGAAACGTGCCGCCTCGTGGTTTCTGCAGCATCATCAATTTCTCCTGAGATGGGGCCAGAGAATAAGAAGCAAAGTTCTCCAGAGCCACAGCCTGCAGAGCCCCAGGGAGGATTGGGGAGGAGGGGGAGGGCAGGGCCGGGCCGGGCCGGGCAAGGCAGGGCTGGCCCACCCACGAGGTGCAGGCTCTGGGACACCTGGCCTTGTCTTGGGTGGGTCCCTTTCGGCTGACGTTGCCACAGCTCTGCCATCTTGGCTCTGCCTCTATTTAAATCATTTCACAGCAAGACTACAGTTTGCTTTGTCCTCTCGTGACCCTGTTGACCTGTCCAGAGGGGAACTGCGCCTGCCTGCGTTCAACCATCACTTTTCTGGGAAGGGCCATGTTCCCCTCATGCTACAGCGCTTCTCTCAGCCATTCAACCAATGTGTGTGTGCGAATGTCCTATTTCCCCTACGGAATGTTTGGGGGAAAGGTTAACAGACAGGTGTAGGTCTGGGTGCTGCTTTAGGTCTTTTTAAGGAGCGTGTCAGGTTCAGTTGGCAAGGCACTGCTCAACTCCACAAACTAAGAGGTTTTCTTGAGGGCAAGATGAGTTGAGTTTGACTTCATCTTCCATTCTTCTTGGCATTCCCTTAGCTCGATACTAAAAAAAAAAAGAAGAAGAAGAAGAAAAGAATGCTAAATGGTTTTGGGAGCTTAGAGAGAACCATGGAATTCATGCAGCTCTCTCTCTCACTCTCATGTGCTCTCTGTCTGCGTCTGAGGGGTTGGGGATCCTACCCTGTCATGGAGTGACTCTGGGGACCACACCCTCAGCAGTCTGGCTCCATGTAGGTCACTTGTTCACATAGCCCTGACACAGCAATAAAAGGCTTGAACAGTCTTTGGAACCAGTGTGGCAAGAGCGTCAGCTCCAGGACTCCAGTCCCAACAAGCCCAAGGGCACAGGAGCCTGTGACTCCCCAGCTCCTCCCTCCGGCAGACTAGTCAGACCAGCTCCCAGCTGCAACTCCAGTTACCCCAGCTGTCCGTCCCATTTGTGGTTCACATGAGCAACTGGGGTGTATGTCAGGACATGAAAAGGCTGGATGGACCAAGCCTAGGTCAGGTCAAAGCAGTTGTTTGTGGCTCTCTTGGACCAGCATACAGTTCTGATATTTTTCTTTAAGAGAAAAAACTGGGCTTTCCTTGGTGGCACAACGGGTTAGGACGCAGCACTGCAAGCTTGCTGCAGCTGCTTCCGCTTCAGTACAAGTTCAATCC